ACAAGAGCCAACAAAAATTATATGCATCAACGTTGCCTACTTTTACTTAAATTACATGTTTTCTTCTTACTATTTTCAATAGCTTTAAGATATTATTTTCAATAAAGTTTTAAGTAAACATTAGTCTTAATGTGTCTCTATGAACAGTTTTTATTACAGAAATTTTGTTTCGGTTTTTAAAGCAATGAAGAACCGTTTATGCTCTTTTTTTATTCGTATACAATTTTATCCGTATCCCGAATCATTCTTTTTCTTGTTAACAGTAAAACTGCTGTTGTTGCCAATGCTCACTTCTCTGACCTATAGTCAGCCCAAGCCCTCGAAATTCATCTGGCCAAGGAGCACAAGTTTACGCCTGCCGTTGGCAACAGCCTTAAGCACCTTTCAGATGACAGTGCGATTTAGCTCAGTTACTACACTTCCAATTCTGATGGACAGCACCCCCGGGGGAGTGGGTACAAGGGTCTCGCATCCCTCTTCCACCAACCTCTCGAAAGGACTTTCGGCTTCCACATACTTAGAGTGCACCCATGCCACACGGACACTATACATTTACAAACATCCATGCCTTCTCCGGGATGCGAACCCGGGTCCTTCGGCACGGCATTTACCGTCGCTAACCACTATACCAGTTGGGTGGCTTGATAGTCAAATATTTCAGTTATATAACACATATCTTCGGTTTTTATATCCTAGTTTAGAAAAGTCTAGAATTGTGTATTAGGATTCGAGACGGGGAAATCTGGGATATCTCAGATTGGACAGGCATCCAAATCCGGTTGGTGGAAAGAAGAAAGTCGCTTACAGGATTAGAATAGAGTGAAAGAAAACAGATTCTATTGAGCACGTCTGTATGCTGAAGAGAAGCACTTTATTCCTGTGTTATTTGGTGACCACTTTTTGAGTAGGTTACTTTTTTTTTCCGTGACAAAACGAAAAGCACATCAAGTGACACTTGAAGATTTCTCTTCATGAAAACTGAAATCTACAGAGGGTGTTCACACATTTTTGTAAAGAATTTGCAAAGATTTATTTATAAACACAACTTAGAATTTTATTTTCTAATATTTTCAACCTGACAGCCCCTTTGTTGAACTATTATATTACATCTTGATTTCCAAGATAAAAGTCCTTTTCTTTAAAACATCAAGTTTGATTTTATTTCACTCCTCCTTCACAACCTTCCCGAGTATCCGATGTTTTGAGATAAAGAGCCTGTTTTAAAAGTCCAAATGCACGGTAATCCACAGGAGGCACATCAGCGGACTCGGTTGAGATGGTGTTAAAAGGAATAGCTTCAATTCCGGATTCAATTTTCATTTTTTTTTTTTTTTTTAAATGAAGCAGTAGACTTAGAGGTATGGCTCGGAGCCTTAATACTGATTGTACCTAACATAGTGAAGATTGTTTGGATAAAGCGATGCAAACTTCTTCTTTGAAAATAGGTGTTAAAACATATTTCTGATAGTAATCCGAATTAATTTTGACTTTTTTTCTACCTTCCTTATTTCCAGTTTTCCGTTATAAAAGAATCCAGTAATAACCGTAAAACCTTTAGAAAATCTTTCCTTGTTTTCTCTGAACCAGTCTTTTTCTCCGCTTTTTTGGTAGTAAATTGATTTTTTTTGTATTGCAATCAGATAAGTATATCCAAGCCTCATCATTTGTAACTATATATTTCCATTTTTCATCTGCCAAATAATTTTCATACGGCAATCTGCACATGGTCTTACGCCGGGAAACATTTTTTGCCATTTTTACGCGATGAATATCGTGTTTTTTTGTTTTGATAAACTTTAAATCGGATATTATATTTTTTTCACAGTTCCTACAGAAATATCTAAAGATTTTTCAATAGCTCTTTGGGGGGCTGGATTTTTCTTTAAAACATGAGATAGCGAGATTTAATAAGAGCTTTACGTACCTTTGTTGGGTATCCTAGGCCTTTTTCCCAGGCAGATGTAAAATTTGACGTTTCGTTCCTTTCATATTAATTATGTCACTTATTTTACGTGTAGAAATATTAAAACCATGCTTTTAATGTCTTTTTTAAATCACTGATTAAGAGTATTTCTCTTCGGACAGCGCAAAATCGTAGCCTTCGATCCATCGTTTATTTTTCAGCGACATTTTACAGAAAAAGAAGATTTGGTTTAATCCTAGTATCCGGTGCATACGGGATTTGGTTACTTTTGGCGACTTTATGATGAGCAGTAAAAACGAGACATATACGATGAGTAGTAAACGGGTCATTTAAAGAATATATATAGTTATACATAGTATATACTATGCATGTAGTGATAGTATATAGTGTATAGTATATACATAGACGATTTTGGGTCATTTTTGGTGTTGGCGATAATTTTCAAAGTCGAGACAAGTGTGCACCGTATACTAGGATTTTACCGAAGATTTTTAATGCTGCAGATGATAATTAAACCTTATTTCAATTTGATGCCAGTCACGTTTGTATTTTAAAATCATTATTTAAATTCAATTATTAAAAATCAAAATTGTTACAAAAATGTGTGAACACCCTTTTTATATGTGTGATAAAAGCTTCTACGAAAAATGCGTTCTTTGTTCAACATGATCAACTGAAATTAATATATGGTGTTTTCATTTTTTTACATTATTTATTTATTAACGTGCTTCACCTTTTGGCGCTACGTGGAAAGGGAGATGGATGCTTCATAATGGGCTATTTAAAGGAAAATGGCTCGTATCCACGTTACACATGGGGATAACCATGAAAACGCCCATGCAGACAGCCCGTTCGCCGGGACTCTAACCCCGGATTGAACTACCAATGTTGGCGGTTTTTACCGCTCGGCCGATGGTGGGTACCATTTTTTATATTAAATATGGTAGAGTTTCGAAGTCTTAGGATTTTAAAAATAAAATATTCTTAACTTTTTAAAAATATAATTAGCATTTCAGACACATTGAAAAAAGGACGCTAAAATTAAATTTGAATACCAGTAGCCATACAGTAGTAGTACAACAGTAATATTAAACATTCTGCAGCTAAAATGTTCTTAAAATTTATCGACGATATTCTTAAAATGAAGTTTCGATTATGTGTCTTTCAAGAAATCGAAATGTACCTATACGACTTTTACACGAATAATTTAAAAAAAAAAAATTATTTTCACAAGAGCCCTCGAAAGACGTATAAAGGATGCTTTCAAACACAATGAATGAAAACTCTCGTAGCGGCACTTTCATGCGACGTTTTTATCTGAAAATATAGTATCCTCAGAATATAAATAAAGATAATGAGTACTACCTCTCTACGACGGCCACCTCCACAAAATATAAACTGACTTCAAAACCATCCGTGCTCAGTCCCTTTCAGAGCTTTCAGTAAATGTATTGGTAGAATTTTGTACTTTATTTTAAATCGCCCAAACGGTATATTGGTTAGCGTACCGAAAAACCTGTGTTCAAATCCCGGAAACGGCACAGATATTTGTAAATGTCGCTGTGCGGGATAGGGGCACTCTATATATGCGGGGAGCCGAAAGTCCTCTCAAGAGGTTGATGGTAAGGGAAGATGTCCTCTCAAGAGGTTGAAGGTAAGAGAAGATGGTGAGGACCCAAGCCCCCCCCTATGGTGTTCTCCATCAAAATTCGGGGGCGGAACTGAGAGACATTGCACTGTCACCTGCATTGTGCTCAACGCTCTTGCCAAAGAAAGGTGCAATCTTGCACTCCTTGACATTACGAATTGCCACCATGAATTCGTGAGTAAAAGTTTACAACCGGATGCCCCTTGTTTTTTGGCGATTCTTTTTTGACGCCAAGATCGGCTCCAGAAACGCAAATTTTAAGATGGCCGCTACGCAAAACCAAAATAAGAAGTCAAAGAATTGCACAAACATTGCACAAAATAGGCATTGCGCACCGCCTTAAATTTGTCCATATACATATCAATCTATTTTCGTTTAAAAAAAATCAGGAAGTTAAAACAAAGTTGAAACTATCATGGCAACCAGAAATGAGGTTTCATCGCCAAAATTTAAAAAAAAATTGTCGCTAAAGGGGCAACCAATTCTACACTGGAGCCAATTCGTGAATTACTGATGTTACTATCAGACAAGTGAGATAAGTCACAGCAACAAATCTGCAATGTTTAAAAAAAAAATTTAAAAAAAGGGTCGATACTTCTTAACTAATAGTCATTTTATTCATTATCCAATTCCTCTTCTGGAACTTAACGCATAAACGACCGACTGATTAGTTAATTCTCTGAGCTAATAAAAGCTGATTAAAATTTTTATTTTTGCGAGGAGACATTTTACAACATTGGTATTTAAAAAAATTTTTAATATTTTAATTATAATCTCTTTTTTAAGGTGTTAAAGTTTAATCTCAAGTTTTTAGGTTGCTAGCTAATTTTATTTCTTATATCCTCGTAAATATTAAATATTTAAAAAATCCTTACTAAATTTTACATACGGGAAATTTTAAAGGTATATAATTATTCATGACGACTGCATTATAATAGCGTCTGCTAATTTATAAGCGAAACAAAAATTATTATTAATTTATCCAACATACTTAAGTTTTGACACCATAATGTAATAATCACAGTCTATATCACATAAGATACATTAAGTTATAAAAAATATATTCCAGTTAATCATTAAGTACATCATACGTAATGTAAACATGTTTTCACTGAAGATTATTAATTACAAAAAGGAAACAGGTCGGGAGGCATTAAAAGCGGTAAAAGACGTTAGGGCTGCAAAATACTACAATTTAAAATGTTACGTTAAATCCTATTTGCATCATAGCAAAATACATCGCAATCATATGTAAAACTTTGTAGTATAATCGATGCCGTTATAAATATACATAGTTATACTATAGTGTTTAACTCATAGCATTATTTAAATTCGTTTCAAATGTTTCTCATTTCACAGAAGCCCGCGAAAATTTTTGAATTTTAAAGAAGGATTATTATAGAGAAGACCAACAAAATAAACACTTACCTTGGTCGCCATCTAATTGAAACTCATTACTAGCAAATAAAAAAAAAGAATTCCACAAATCCTCTCTCCACACTAAAAAAGGAGTCAAAACATCCCTTCGCACTCGAACTGCTCTTGTAACAAGTGGCCGCGTGAGTACCGCATCTGAATCCACAGAACTTCTTGGCTAAAACTGTCACCGGCTTGGCGAGCCGCAGCTCCGGTGAGAAAGAGACAATTACGCCAATCTTTTAGGTTGTTTGTGCTTCGTAAACTTTCTAGGGTTTCCATACGAAATGTTTCTCGCTTCCTTGGCAAACTCGTGTATTTAATGTGCAGTTTTTCCTTTTTCCAGCTGTGGATCAGCGTGTTTGCTGCTCGGATAAAGGACTTCATGAGAGTTCTGATATATTTAGACTCTAAAAAGTCTTCTGCGCGATCTTTGAAAAATGTTTGTTCTTAATGTCCCGTCTAATTATATATATATAATAAAAAATAAAATTAAAAAAATTTTTTAATTCATTTCATATTCACTTTGGAATGAACCATATGCAAAAACCAGGAACCCAGAAGCAGAGTAGCAAATTAAAAGAAATGGGAGGGCTGGAAAATGATACCAAAACAAAAAATGAAAGATAAGGAGTGCAAAAAATTACAAAATTATAACGTCAAAAACGCAGACAACTTCAAAATGATTACGAAATAATAGACAAATTTTAATTTTTTTGGTCGGGGGCGAACAGATCAAGTGCAAAACGAAAAGCTGCAAAAACAAATAATCCGAAACTTGAAAAAAAAAAAAAAACTGTATGCAAATGTTTAATCCAACATTTCAGAAACAAAACTATATGCAAATTTTGAAAACGTTCAAGCCGGATAAAAAATAAATCATACGCAAACAAAAAGCTTAAAAATCTAATTTCCCCCACTCGCCAGTTTGAGTGGGCTGTGTCCAAAAACGTGTAAAACAGATGTAATCAAGCTTATGAAAAAATAAATGAAATAAATGAATATTTGATCAAAAAAATATAAAATAAAAATAAAAAATTAGAACTACTAGTTAATTCTTAAAATCTGTAACATTAGAGGAACAAAAGTTTTGAAATGAAAAACTATATTGAAATTAAATAAATCTGATGTGGACCCCCACATGACTTGTAGGGCGTATTAAATTACACACATTTTTTGCTGCATTTCATTTAAATTTATTCCCTCGAATATCATTAGAGGTGTTTTTCTCATTCAATCTTCTCCCTTCGCGGTAAAGCAAAAATACAGAAAAACTCGAAGCATATTCATTAAAAGTTGTCAAACACAGAAAAACCTAAAACTCCAAATATCGTTTATAGAATATTTTCTCCTTCCTTTCTGCATACCTTCGGGATGTAACGGTTAGCGGAGTCCCAGCGAGGGCAGTGCACATTTTTCACATCTCCTGCTTCAAAAAACCTGATGACTCTATTAACGGCGCCCGAACTAAAAGGTGGTGGATGATGATCCTTCACCACCAGGATTTGGCGTTTGGAACTCTAAATCCCCAGTCGCCTTTAAAAGGGGTATTTTCTCCCTCCTTTTATGCATGTTTTCGTGTTGTAGCGGTAGCACATTTGGCGCGTATTCTAGAGATCCAGGTTCGAATTCCGGCGACGGCATTGCACATTTTTCATGTCTTCTGCTTATAAAAAAAGACCTAACAACTCTGCAAGTTTTTTATAAAAAATTTGTAATTAAAATTAAAGTTTCTAAACCAAAATAAGTAATTAAGCTAGCGGAAAGGAAGACAAAATTTCCGATGCACAAAACTGAAAGTTAACCGTTGATCCCACTGTGCAAAAAGACACTGAAATTCACCAACTGACTTAATTCACTGTTCTACTAAGAGTTCAAATGCAAACAAATGTTGACTTTATTGAACCTAGTGCCACTTTTAAACTGTTGATAATTCTAAATGTGTTGGATGTAGATTAACTTAAGGCATAAGAACCTTATACGGAACATAAGAACAACAAACTTCAATCACTTTTAAAGCAAAAAAATGCGCAATTTACTGACATATAAGAATATAAAAACTGAGCTCCCCGAGATGGGTGAGTTAGTGTCATCTGGTATATATGTAATAATAGCAAGAAAAAAGGTGGAGCAGCGTCGATGCGTAATAGCTATATAGGATAGATCGTAGTTCCATATTGAAGAAAAGGAATTCTGTTTGCTTAGTATGCTAATATGTTGACTTCGTAATATTTAAAAAAAACTTGGCAGTCGAGGCAGTTTTAATTCCACTTTTATTTGTAATTGACATTTGTGGCCACAGTTCACTTGGTGCTCTAGTCGTGTCTATTCAAGGAAACTTACAGTTTTTGATATTATTCCGATAGGAAGCGAGCCCAGCGAAATTGCGCATGAGCACTGCACGGACAGAAGCTAAAGTGCGTAGTTTTTCAATATGGAAGCACACGAAGAGAAAGATTTTGGTTTGAGTTAAAAGTTTCAGTTCCCAATTATTACTGCGGCAGGCCACGCAAAATGAAATGATCTAGAAATGACGCAATCCAGAGAAATTATTACAATTTTTAGAACAGAAAGGAAGAATTAAAGATTTTAAATTAGTTTAAATTATAATTTTGATTCACATATTTTTTTTTATCTTACATATATATATAATTTTGGTGCCACCGATTGCAGCCAAAAAGGAAAGCGCATAACTAAATGTTATAGCAGTCCCTTAAACAAAATTTCAATATTCTGAGGCCTACACGTTTTTCAGTTATGCGAGATGCATGCATACGTAAGTACAGACCTCACGGGGGAAGAAAAAACTCTTCAGAACCCATTTTAAATCCATTTTACAATCCGTTTTGGGAAAAAGAATCCTTTATTCTGATTATTAAAATAATTAGAAAAACTTAAATATATTTTTGATGTAGTTTTGGCGGAAGACGGAACCAGTTTCCATTTTAGTCATGGCCGAGATAACTTTGAAGAGATTCCTATGAGTGTAAAATCAACACCCTTATTAAAGAGGCAAGGAAAATCGGCACTAGTGTTAGAAGTAACAAACACTTGTTGCCAGCTAATTTAAGATAGCAACTTCTTGATACACTTGGTGCAATCCGGCGGCTTGCACTGGGGTGGGGACCGTCTCCCTCGCTCCCTCTCCAAATGATAGAATCCAGCACTGACACGGACAGTCTTCAATTGTCCCAGCAAGAGCACCATCGCTGTCAAGGCACCCACAATGCACCCAATAGTACGGGAGCAGCACAGGGGCTTGATATCCTTCATCGGCCATGCACTGGGGCACATCCACGTAGTAAAGCTGAGCAGATACCTACATATGCAGAGATTCTGCATAAAGATACCCAGCACACATTGAAGGGCATGCCAACTCTTCTAATTTCTCCCAAGAGCACTGAGCATGCAATCAATATACAAAGGAGTTAGAAAAACATGCCTCACCAACGGACATGCGCACAACTTTACGAAGCATCCAAAAACTCAACAAAGGTGGAGTTGCAGTGCGCTGCAACACCAAAGAAGACGTCCACAAGTTAAATGAGGTCCTGGACGCAATGAAGGCATTATGGAAAATTTTAGTACTTCAGTTCCTCAGAAGACATCCCCGAAGTGCTCCATAAACAACATCAATGGGGGTCGGCAGAGGAGGTAACAGAACTAGTGACAAAGAATTTCAATCTCTCCGACAAAGATTTAAAGTCTCCTTCAGACTAAGTGATCAACGAAATAAAGCATCAAAATGGGTGCTTGACTGCACACCGGAAGCCTTCAGAACAATGATGGACAGGTTACAGGTTGTAAGGATCTTAAGTTTTACTAACGTTTATTTTTATGTTAAATCTTTACTATCACTTCTTATTTTCTACTTCCGGCCAGAATTAAAAGCTTTAACTTATTTATGCGAATTTGTCTTGCTAACGCCAAGTACTTAAGTTATGGCTTTTTGCCAAGCAAGAGAGAAAGGAAGGAGTTACTAGAAGCAGGCCGCTTGCCATAGTAGTTTTACTCGGTTACTGGTTGCCTTCAAGGCCAGAGGTTTAATCCTCTTGATAATTTTAAACGTATCGTAGTGCTAGCAGTTCTGTACTACATACGGATTTTTGTTAATATACAGCAAATCTTGGAGTTAGGCACTTGTTTGATTAATCCAAAGTTAGTTTAGTTAGAGTTTAGTTAATATTTTTATATTCTTACGTTCAGACCACAAGTGGTTGGTCTCTGTATTCCGAAGTTCCGGAAATTCATTGTAAAGAGAGAAAAATAAAGGGTTTCGTATACCCTTCCTGCGTGTATTGTCTACTTCCCCAAATTTATTGAACATAGCTTTAGTAAGCTCCCTGTTCCGAGTCAGGACAGTTAATGTTTCCAAAGCAAGTAAAGAGGAATACAGAACCTGATAGTGGCGCCCAACGAAGAAGCATAACCATGGCCGAGTTTCAAGAAGAACATGTGCTGCCTGCAGAAGCGGCTCAGAATCCAGAAATGCCAGCTGCCGCCCTGGAAGGATTTGGTTACATCGTCCAGACCATGCGCGCATCGATGAAACCAGAAGCAACATTTAATGGAAACTCACCGGTAACCACTTTTTTGAAAAAATTGGATGACCACTTTATGCTGTATCCAGTCCATGAGTTCCAGAAAGTTCACCTTAGCTACCAGCGCTTTGAGGGGCCAAGAGCGTTTAATTGGTTTCAAATGTATAGGCAGAAACCTCTTGGGTCAAGCGGGAAGTCCCACCTATACTTACGAAAATTTTAAGACTGCCTTAATAAAAGCCTTCCCTGTCGTAAGAAATCGTTCAAATTAGAAGCAGGAACTCTTCAGCATATACCAGCAACGAATTGAAAATCTCTTAAGTTTTATTTTTAAAAAAATTCACGTCTTTAAACTCTTGTATGGAAGCCGTCCGGATCCTGAGATAATCCAAGTGATTTTGCGGAGGTTACTTCCCCAAGTACAAGACTTTATTGAATTAAGAAATCCGACTACACTGGAAAAGTTATTTGAGCTAGCAATCCAGTTTGAAAGTAGAAGAACGGTGGACATTGAAAGAAGACGCCAGTATGAGCAACGAAAGCCAATTTGGTGCGCCAAGACCACAGCAAAGGTCAAGATCACGGCTACGGAAGCAAAGCGAATCAGTGGTCAAGGAAACCCGAGTATCCAAAAACAACGGCGAACGTCGACAG